CTACCCCGAGCATGACTGAGGGTAGCAACCCAACCCCCTGATCTGCCCTGCTCTGTGTGTACAGGGGGCAGTTCCCCAACTCCCCCATCGGCCCTATTCTGTGCATGACATGGGGGAGCTCCCCAAACCCTTGATGGGCCCTGCTCTATGCGTTACAGGGGGCAGTGCCCCAACTCCCCAATAAGCCCTTCTCTGAGCCCGACCAGGTGCTGCACCTAGGGATTGGGCCTGCCCTCTGCCACCCAGGAGTGGGCCTAAGCCAGCAGGTCGTTATCTCCCAAGGGGTCCCAGACTGTGAGAGGGAACAAGTGGGGCTGAGGGACACCCCCCGCCAGTGCACAAATTTTTGTGCACCGGGCCTCTAGTGTGTGTGTGTATGTATGTATTTACTATTATTATTATTGAGAGAGAGAGGAAAGGAGAGGGAGAGAGAGTGAAACATTACCAATGAAAGACACATCAATTGGCTGCCTATTACATACCCCTACTGGGCAGGAAATTGAACCAGCAACCTTTTGGTTTATGGGACAACACTCATCCAACTGAGCCACACAGTCCAGGGCAAGCAAGGTCTTTTTTATTACCACACAGAAATGGCTGGCCTGGGGCCCCAGAGATGGACCAGCCTCAGTCCCTGCCCTCTGGCCAGGAAAGGCAAGGTATCTTCGACCCATTTACAGGTGAGAAAAACAGGAGCAAAGCAAGAATGGACCTGAAGAGGGAGAAGCGAGATCCCTGCCCCACTCTGAGACTGGCCAGTGTGTCTGCCAAATTTCAGATAGCCCTTCACCCCAAGCAATGCTGAGAAGGTCCTTCTGGTAGGAAAGGGCTTGGGGGAGGGGCCAATATGGGTAATACTAACACTGTTGGCTGGTGATGGGAGCACAAGACCCTGTGTAGATGCCTTACCAATGCTCGCTTTCTACCCCCAAGCTGGTGCCTGGTACCCATCAGAAAACAGGTCTCACTGAGTTGGGGGAGGAATCTGGGAGGCAGAGTGGCTGGACATGGATCTCCCCATTTCCTGAGTCACACGACTCACCCAGAGTCGCAATCTAGGAGGCTGGGTCAAGGTGCCAGGTTGCCCTTCTGGCCGGTCCACAGCTCTCGGAGCTCTACATGGCACCCCAGGTCCCGCAGGGCTGCCTTGGCCACGTCCTCACAATCTTGGTGAGCAACACGGGCCTGCACAATGAGTGCTTCGGCCCCCAGGTCCAGGATGAGCTGTGAGAAGGCCTGGCTGCGGGCCACTAGGTTTCGGATCAGCATGCAGGCCTGTTTCTAGAAGGGAGAGAAGATGAAGGCTGTAGGCTGGTGCTTAAAGTCCCAAGGTAGGATCCACTCTGATCTTGGGGTTATCCTCATAGCACAATGATGACTACAGCCATTATTCGATGAGTGCTATGCTATGACTCATCAGGCCAGATGCATCCCTTCACTTCATCTTCTCCACAGCCCAAGGCAGAGCTAATCTATTTCCCAGGGTGCCCAAAGGGTCAGCAGGTGGGGCTGATTGCTCAGGTATGGATCTTTAGTCTCACAGAGAGTCTGGCAGGGGCCCCAAAGGAAGAGGGCAACAAGAGAGAGGAAAGGGGGGGTGTGCACAGAGCCCATCTGTCAATTACACTGGTACTCCTTCAGTATACCCTGCATATCTGCCATCTGTGGGTACCTAGAAACACCCCAACAAGGCTTCCACCACCAGTGGATGAGTAGGTGAAGTGTGGGAACTTCTGGCCAGGGTGGTCAGAAAAGGACAAGGTAATGAATGGGCCAGCCAAGGGCATGATGTCCTGGAAGGGCCAGAAGAGCAAGGCCCTATAGGAACCACAGCCTGGGGCATCTAAGGATCATGAAGCCCCAATGCTGGGGTGCATGTGAGAGGTGGGAGAACCAGGGACTGCAAGAAGAAGCGTGGGTTTCAGGCCACAGTGTACACATAGCTCCGTGTATAGTTCAGCCCTGAAGACTCCCCAGTGAGGTGGGCAGAACCATCCCAAATCCAAGCAAAACCCCATCTGCTCTCCCCCATCCCCTCCTCCTCCCCAGATTCCTACAAAGAGCCTAAAAGAAAATATCAAACACAGAATAAAGGAGCAGGGACAGTATACTCTGGAGGACGGCATGTAGCTGCAGAACTCTAGGAGCTGGGAAGGAATAGGAAGCTATAAGGCTTGGGCCGTGATGGGAATGGGGACAGGGACAGGGACTAGGAGGGCCTGTCTGGCCCCCCTTTTGCATGCGGGCTTCTGCCTCTCCTACTTCCTTACCCACCTGCACACCAGCCTCCTTCGGGTGTGCCTTCATCGCCTCCAGTGCAGCCAAAGCACCACCGCCCTCTACAATAATCCGGCTGTTCTCGGGCTTGCGCAGGGCCAGGACACCCAGGGCTGCACAGCTCTGCTCGCATACCTGCAGGATGGGTCACAGGAATGGCTGAGACCAGGCCAGCAGACCCCCAGGTGAGTTCCCAAGACCCCACTTGAACAGACCACTATCAGTTCAGGTGTGTACCGGACCAGCAATAGCAGCAACAGTATCAGGGTGACAAAAACATCAACTAAGCTCTTCTGTCCCACTTCCCGCTCTGCTTACCCTCGCTCTCACTCACCAGGCCCCCCTCCACCCTAACCTTGCCTGATCCCACCCCTTGCCCACCCTCATTCTCCCTGCCCCTACCCCTCCCTCGTCTCTAGTTGAGGAAATGGAAAGATCATCACACAGATATAGTGACTGAGCTGGGATTCCAGATCCACTGCCCCACCTCATGAGCCCCTTGGAGGTACCTGGGGGCTGGCCAGGTGCTGGGTCATGGCAGCCACAATGGACTCTGTCCCACCTGCACGGACAATGGCATCCTTCACATCATCATTGCCTGCAATGGCCCTCAGGGCACTCAGCACTTGCTTCACAAGGTCCTATATGGAAAGCACAAGGGGGGTCACACCCTGGTGCAGCCAGCCCCCCTCCCCGCTGCACCAGGTGCTAACTGCTAAGTTGCTGTATTGTGGGAGGAGGTCTCGAGGGTAGGTCTGGGGCTGTTCAGCAGTCTGAACAACAGCTAGTGCTGCCCTGGGGCACAAAGGCGGCATGTGACAGCTGGGTTACTATTCATTGTATACAGAAGGCAGGGGAAGTAGACCTTGTTGTTCAGTGACTTTTCCCCCACCCCCCACAGAGGAAGCATTGGCTCAGGTCAGCAATCAGAAACCAGGTCTCCTTGGCCTTGGCTGCAGGCCCAGGGTGGGCAGTGATTGACTTGACCGGCTGCTGTCACTGGCCGGGTCAGGATCCCAAGCCTTAGGCTGGACATGTGGTGAGGGGGTTGATAAGTCACTGTTACATGAATTAATGATGGTCAGGGGTCCTTGACCTTTATACAGAGAGGAAAGCCCAGGAAGTGAGGGGTAGGCCTCACTCAAGCATCACACAGCTGAGCTGAGGTCTGGGTTAGCCCTGGCGACACCCACTCCTGTCCCTCCTACTCCTGGAAGAAAATATAAAGATACTAGAGAACAGTAAGAAAGAGTGGGATGGGTTTGTCTGCCCCAAAACTTTAGTTCCCACCTATGCGTCAATGAGGAGTAGAAACACATTTTGGTTTTGGAATCAGCACACGGGCTAGGCGTGTCCTCACACGGGCTTTTATGGCTGGCAGGAGCCCAAAGGGACAAGTTCCCTGAGAGGCTGGAGACTTTCCCAGGCATGGAGAAAAATGTCAAATTGAAATCAGGGTGAGGGGACGCTGCACTTTAAGACAGCTCTGGATGCCCACCTGATGGTTGTTGCAGTTGGCCAATAGGGCCACCAGGATGCCAAGGCCCCCCAGGTCTACGACCTCTTGACAGAACTCGTTGCGAACAGTCAGATGGGACAAAGTGCTGCAGAGCTCACTCAGGACGCTGGGGTTGTCAGGGAACACTGCAGAGAGGGAGTGAGAGGAACTGTGGGGATGAGGAAGGAGCAGAGGACCAGCCACATCTCCAAGCCAGCAGTCCTGGTTCGAATCCTGCTCCACCCTCTGCCTGGCAAGGTGGCTTCCTAAACCAGGAGAGCCCCAGTGGACACCATGGGCAGTATGGACCTGCAGTGCCCCCTGCTGGCAATTGAGGAAGACACTGGATGCCCTGCTTTCCCCACCTCTTCACCATGCCCCAGCTAAATACCAGACCAACTGAGGGTAATACCTAAAAAAAGAAAATCATAATAATGCCATAATAAAACATCCGAGGGTAGAAATGACCTTTCTAAGTATAACAGGAAACCCAGAAACCACAGGGAGACATACAGAGTTGACCGGGCAGAACTGAACAGTTGTGAAGACCACGCTCAGAGGCACAGGGAGGAGGCTGCACTGCCTCTCCTGGGGAAGGGGTGGAGAGCCACAATCTATGCAGTTAATGTGATAGTCAGTTCGTGTGCCCCAGTGACTCCATGGGCACTAATCTGATGTGCCATGAAGGTGTTCTCTAGACATGGTGCTATCCATCTGCCTTTAAGTGAAGGAGTGGACCCTGGATGGTCTAATCAGCTGAAGACCTTACCAGAGAAACTGAGGTCTTCCTGAGGAGGAAAAAGCACCCCTGTGAAGTGTGGTGTCAGTTCCTGCCCCACGGATTTGACTCGAAAGCCCCACATTAGCCAACTCCTTGCAATGACTCTTTATACCCACATATCCTACTGGTTGTGTCTCTCTGGTAGAACCCTGACAAAAATGAGCTTCTGTAAATAAACAAGAAAATGCAAATGATCCCTCAGAAAAGCAGCCTGACTTCCAAGATGATCAAGATCTGTTTCCACTCTCTCCAAGGGTTTGGAGGGGAGACTGAGGCAGGTCCATCTCTCTGGCAGACAAGGCAAGAGCCGGTGGGGAAAGGGAACTCATTCTTCTGGCACCTTCAGTACACCAGACCTGTCAGTCCTTTTTTGGTGGATGCAGTGGATGGGAGCTGGTGCTTTGAGGTCTGAATGTCAGTGTTACAAGCTCCCATGACGGGCTCATGGTTACCCTGGAGTCAGGAACACATATGTGCACAAGAATTTGTGGCCAAGTGTGAACCAAAGTGTGAACTGCTACCTGGGACCAACCATAGTGAATGCCAGCAATGCTTCCTCCATCTTTGGGAAACACCCTTTGGGGAGCTCTTCCCCACTCTCAATCTCGTTGGACAGAGCTGAGTCCCCTCCCCAAATGGCTTTAGATATGTCCACAGGACTTGGTCCTGGCCAATGAGTGCTGGCTCTCCTGGACCAACTAGGAGTCAGGATACTGCTCCATAAGGGCTACCATGCAGGTAGGATGAAGCCAAGGGAGGTAAGTGGAGCCTAGAGCCAGCCATGCCTATGCCTGAAGTAGCTCTAGGCCCTGACTCTAACTCTTACCACACCTGTTCCTACCTTTGGCAGCCTCGATGAGCACCTTCAAGCCTCCGTTCTCCTGCACGATCAGCTTTGCGTGGTCGTGGGCATTGCCGAAGGGCACACGAATGTCATCATCAAAAGTCATGATGCGGAGGGCCCAAGAGGCCTCCCTGACCACATCGGCACAGCGGCTGTGCCTGACGATGGCACCAGTTAATAGGGGCAGCACACCAGCCTTCACCAGACTCTGCCGATTCTGCTCATGTTTCAGGCAGGCATGGCGTATGCAGCGGATCCCAGAGCAAATCAGATCAGTTGCATCAGCATGCTGGTCCAGAGTGGTCACCAGCAGCTTTAGGCCCTGGGTGTCCAAGAGGTCGGGCTGGCCATTGATCAGTGCTGATAGGGCATTGAGGGCCTGGAGAAGAAGTCCCTGGTCACCCGCTGCAGCCAGCTTCCAGGCAGCAAGTAGAATGGGGTAGGCACCCTTCTGAGCTGCCAGAAAGCGGCAGGCCTTGTGCTGCTTGCATTGCTCACAAAAGCGGGTAAGTTGTGCTGACACCTCCTGGGGGTCATAGCAGGCCACGGACTCCTGCAGGTCTTCCAGGATCTAGAAAACATGGGAGAAACCTCAGTGTCATCTCAGCCCAGGGAGGGCCATAGAGACAGTGCTGTACCCCTGAGGTCTGGGCCTACACTGGAAGTTCTGTGGGGCCAGTTCCAGCCAAGTCAGCTTCGATGACTGTGCTTTTAGGAGCCTTGAGTTTCATAGGCCACATAGAAGTCAAAGTCCAGGCCTTCAGTGTCCTTGCCAAGGAGCCACACATACAAGTGCAGATGTTTTAAACATCCCAGCCCTAGCTGCCACTGCATGTGAGGTCCCAACAAAACAAACTGTCCAACTGAACTCAGTCAACCCAGTAGTATCATAAGAAACAATGAAATGGCTGTTCTTTGGGGTTGCTTCTTATGCAGCCATAACTAACTGATACACCCTCCAAAGGCCAGCTCTCCAAAAAAGGTGAAAGCCACCTTCACTAGGCCTGCTCTCTCTCATTTACTCCACAAATATTTACTGAGCATCTGCCAAATAAAACCATACTGTACACACAGCTGATTCACTCAAATTCAACTCTAAGCAGCGGGGGGAAATAATAATGAAAGAAAACAATCTGAACAGGACAGACAATCTAGCTGCAATTCAACTCTATGACCTCAGTGCCTGCCTGAACAGGAGCCTTAAGACAAACCCATACACACCTGTCAAAATGACTGTCATCAATAAATCAACAAACAAGTGTTGGTGAGGATGTGGAGAAAAGGGAACCCTTGTGCACTGCTGGTGGGAATGCAGACTGGTGGAGCACTGTGAAAAGCAGTATGGAGTTACCTCAAAAAACTAAAAATAGAACTGCCTTATGACCTAGCAATAACACTTCTGGGAATTTACCTGAAGAAACCTGAAACATAATTGGAAAGAATATATGGACCCTCATGTTCAATGCAACATTATTTACAACAGCCAAGATTTGGAAGCAGCCCAAGTGCCAATCAGTAAATGAGTGGATAAAAAAGCTGTGGTACAACCTGGTTGGGGTGGCTCAGTGGTTGAGGGTTGACCTATGAACCAAGAGGTCACAGTTTGATTTCCAGTCAGGGCACATGCCCAGGTTGTGGGCTCAAACCCCAGTGTGAATGCAGCCAATCAATGATTCTCTCTCATCATGGATGTATCTCTCTCTCCCTCTCCCTTCTTCTCTGAAATAAAAATGTATTTTTTAAAAAAGACGTGGCAAATCTTGATATGCATTTGTTACATTAGCCTCTGACCTTCACAGAAAAGTTGGAAATGTTTCATAAAAGTTTGTTGTTGTTTTGGAGGATTGCTTGCTGCAGTGATGGAGGAAGCCAAGCTTCCCCACCCGCCGTGGCCTGGCTCCGAGCTCCACTGAAAGCAACAAAGTTTCAATTAAAGCCATGTCCACCATACAATCAGAGTGACTATATGCAAATTAACCCAACCAAGATGGCGGCTGACAGCCACAGAGCTGGAGCAAGCAGGAGGCTTGGTTGCCCCGGTGATGGAGGAAGCCAAGCTTCCCGCCTGCCCTGGCTGGCTGTAGCCTCCGCTCAAGGCAACAAAATTTCAATTATAGAAGATAAATAAACCCCAGATACCTGCTTTCAGCCAGCCATGGCCACAGAGCTGGTGTGAGCAGGAGTGTGTTGTCCCTGGTGATGGAGGAAGCCAAGCTTTCTGCAGGCCTCCGCTAAAGGCAACAAAGTTTCAATTATAGAAGGTAAATAAATCCCAGAATAAAAAAACAAAAGGAAAAAAAGGAGAGGCAGGGAGCTTATGCTGCCACAGTACTTGGCCAGCCTGAAAACGGCCCTCAGCCCCTCACCCAGACTGGCCAGGCACCCCAGTGGGGACCCCCCGCCCTAAAGGGGGTGTGGCCAGCCTGAAAACAGCCATCAGCCCCTCACCCAGGCTGGCCCATCCTCCTTGGAGTGAGGGTTCCCATTGGAGTGCACATCCTCCGAGGGGTCCCACACTGCAAGAAGGCATAGGCCGGGCTGAGGGACCCCCCTCCCCCCAAGTGCACAAATTTTTATGCACTGGGCCTCTAGTATAAAATAAATATAAAAAATGTAAGTCTTTGTTTTTACTATGGTTGCAAACATCAAAAAATTTCTATATGTGACACGGCACCAGAGTTAAGTTAGGGTTTTTCAAAATGCTGACATGCCAAGCTCAAAAGGTTCACCATCACTGCAATAGAGGCCCAGTGCACGAAATTCATGCGGGGGCGGGGGGGGGTGTCACTCAGCCCAGCCTGTACCCTCTCCAATCTGGGACCCCTCGAGGAATGTCCGACTGGGATCGGACCTAAACGGGAAGTCAGACATCACTCTCATAATCCAGGACTGCTGGCTCCCAACAGCTCATTTCGCTGCCTGCCTGATTGCCCCTAACCACTTCTGCCTGGCAGCCTGATCACCACCTAATCCAGGGGTGGGCAAACTTTTTGACTCGAGGGCCACAATGGGTTCTTAAACTGGACCGGAGGGCCGGAACAAAAGCATGGATGGAGTGTTTGTGTGAACTAATATAAATTCAAAGTAAACATCATTACATAAAAGGGTACGGTCTTTTGTTTTCAATAGTTTTATTCAATTCAAACGGGCCGGATCCGGCCCGCGGGCCGTAGTTTGCCCACGGCTGCCCTAACCCCTCCCCTGCCAGCTTGATCGATGCCTAACTGCTCCCCTGCCAGCCCGATTGCCCCTAACTGCCCTCCCCTGCAGGCCTGGTCACCCCTAAGTATCCTCTCCTGCTGACCCGGTCGCCCCTAACTTCCCTCCCCTGTAGGCCTGGTCCCCCCCAAATGCTCTCCCCTGAAGGCTTGGTCACCCCCAACTGCCCTCCCTCCCCTACAGGCCTGGCCCCTCCCAACTGCCCTCCCCTGCAGACCCGGTCACCCCTAACTGTCCTCCCCTGCAGGCCCAGTCACCCCTAACTGCCCTCCTGTGCTGGCCTGGTCGCCCACAACTGCCCTCCCCTGCAGGCCCAGTCACCCCCAACTGCCCTCCCCTGCCAGCCATCTTGTGTCCACATGGGGGCAGCCATTTTGACCACATGGGGGTGGCCATCTTGTGTGTTGGAGTGATGGTTAATTTGCATATTACCTCTGTATTAGATAGGGTATTAAAAAAAAAAGGCCGTGGTACAGCCCTGGCTGATGTGGCTCAGTTAGTTGGGCGTCATCACCTGCATCATAGGGTTGCCGGTATGACTCTGGGTCAGGGCACATGCCTGGGTTGTAGGCTCGATCCCTGGTATGGGCATGCAGGACCCAGCTCATCAATGTTACGCTCTCACATGGATATTTTTTCTTCTCTTTTTCCCACTCGCTGACTCTCTCTCTCCACCAAAAATCAATAAAAATATTTCTTAAAGAGCCTTGACTAGCTCTGTTGGTTGAGAGTCATCTCAAGCAGCAAACAGTCACCGGTTAGATTCCCAGTCAGGGCACAGGACCAGATTAAGAGCTTGATCCCCAGTAGGTGGCATGCAGGAGACAGCTTATAGATATTTCTTGCTCTCTCTTTCTCTCTCTCTCCTTCTTTCCACTCTCTCTAAAATCAATAAAAAACATATTTAAAAACAGTATTTTTAGGTTCTAGTCAAGATGGCAGTGTAGGTAAATGTGGTACTTGCCTCCTCCCACACCACATCAAAATTACAACTACAGAACAACTACTAGTATATTCAGAACTGCCTGAAATCTGGCTGAATGGAAGTTCTACAACTAGGGAATTAAAGAAGAAGCCAGAAAGATAAACACCATATGATCTCACTCATAATATAAAGAACATTATAAACTGATGAACAAAAACAGATATAAAGAAGCATCGAACAGACTGTCAAACGACAGCAGGAAGGCAGGAGAGGGTTGGTGGCAGGGGTAAGAGATCAACTGAAGGACTTGTATGCATGCATATAAGCATAACCAATGGACTCAAGACACTGGATGTGGGGGAGGTGAGGGCATGTGCTGGGGGCTAAGGGAGGCTGGGGGGAGGTCAATAGGGGAAAAAAGGAGACATATGTACTACTATTTGTAATACTTTAAACAATAAAATAAAATTTAAAAAAAAAGAAGCCACATCAAGATTGATAGGAGGGGCAGAGATGTGGGGTGGACATGTGGGGCACAGGTGCAGAGCCAGCTGGCCCCACACCCACGTGTAGTGGTTTAAAATTGGAAGGGATTATCTTGGCTGTGGAGTTTTCCCTATTGGAACGAGGGATCTCAACCTCACACCAGGCCCCCCAGCCCAGGGTTCCAGTGGTATGAAGAGAAATCCCCATATTTTGGGGCTGTCAAAACCAGTAGGGCCTGTCTGGCGTGGCTCAGTGGTTGAGTGTCTGCCTATGAACCAGGAGGTCATGGTTTGATTCCGATCAGGGCATATGTCCGGGTTACAGGCTCCATCCCCAGTCAGGGATGTACAGGAGGCATCCGATCAATGATTCTCTCTCATTGATGTTTCTATCTCTCCTTCCCTCTCCCTTCCTCTCTGAAATCAGTAATAAATAAATAAATAAAAATTTTAAACCAGCAGGGATTGTAGCTGAGTTACATGGAGGTTGCTGTAGACCTAGGCAGTTCCTCTTAAAGGGACCCCACACAGAGTAGCAGCTTGAAAGAAACCAGAGACATACAGGGAGGAACTAACTTGTCTGGAATCAGGGCAAGAGCTGGAGGGGCAGCTACCCCAGACAGAAGTGCCGGCAGAGGCCACTGTTTCTTTGATAAGCCCTCCCCGCCCCAGAGCTAACAGAGCATTTTCTTTTCCTCTTCTTCTCTGAGTAAATATAAAATAATTGCAATACTAGTATTATGTGTTCTCAATGGCACTTGTGTTATAAGCTTTTCAAGTTTCTTGTAGGGTTCCTGCTAAATGCCACAACCTCAGTTTTTGTTTTCTGTAGTAAAATATACATAAAATCTACCATCTTAACCATTTCTTATTACACAGTTGAGTGGCATTAAGTACATTCACATCATTGGGCAGACATCACCACCATCCATGTCCAGAAATTATCTTCCCAAACTAAAACCATCTCCCTTAAACACTAACTCCCCATACTCACCTCCGCTAGCCATGGCCATCGGCACCCACCATTCTACTTTCTGTCTCTATGAACTTGACTACTTGTGGAACTTCGTGTAAGTGGAATTTTGCAGTATTTGTCCTTTTGTATCTGGCTTATTTCACAGAGCATAAAGTCAAGCATTTTTCATGCATCAGAACCACAACACACAAGCAGAGCTCAACGGTGCCATGGTATGTGAGAAGGGTTTGGTTAAGTGCAAGGTGAGAACAAGGCTAGGAGATTCGAACCCCAATGTGTGTGGCACCACTCACAGGAAAGGGTGAGAAGGAAGCTGGTAGGATGTATAGGACAGGGACTTTCAGATTTTACTATAAATCCTTGAGTATTGCTTGACTTTTTTATATTTGTTTATTGATTTCAGAGAGGGAGGGAGAGATAGAAACATCAGCGATGAGAGAATCATTGATCGGCTGCCTCCTGTACGCCCCACTCTGGGGATCGAGCCTGCAACCCAGGCATGTGCCCTTGACCAGAATCGAACCTGGGACCCTTCAGTCTACAAGCCGACGCTCTATCCACTGTGCCAAACTAGCTAGAGTTGCTTGACTTTTTTATGCCAAGAACATATTCACATTCTTCTTCTGTAATGAAAAATAAAACTTTAAAACTGAAATTAAGAATAATAAAAGAGCAAAGGCTACAAACTAGTTTCCTACACTGCTAGTAGTAGACCTCCAAGCCATTCTCTGAGCTTGGCTTCCCCAGGAGAAGGACCTGGGTCTGGGTCCCAGCTAGGCCTCTCAATGGCTGTGACCATAGGTGAGTCATTTATTCTTGGGAAGCCTCATATTCCTGATCAACAAAATGGGCTAATCACAGATTGAGTTTTAAGCATTTAGCACAATGCTGAGCACTTCAAAAGTACTCAATGACTGCTAGAGATCATTGTTACTGAGATCCTTCATATATAAAGGGCATCTACAAATCAGTAAGAAAAAAACGATAAACCACCAAATAGAAAAACTGCCAGAAGACAAGCTCATTTTTAAAATACACTCATCCTTACTAGCAAAGTCAAAAGAAAACAAGATGATTTTCACATAACCTCTATAATGCAGGAGATGGTGAGGACTCTGAGGAAGGGAGAAATAAGCACCTTGCCCTTGTCAGAGCTGGGATCACACCCAGGGCTGCTCCTCCAACTTCTTCTTTTATCACTACACTCCCTTGCTGCCAGGAGAGTCATTTTACTCTCTCTGGATCTCAATTTCACCATCTGAAAAATGGAAATAATAATCCCAACCTTACAGGTGTCTTTGGGAGAATAACTGAGATAGCACAAAGAAAGCACCTTGCACAGAACTGAGTCCACAGTCTGTTCTCAATAAACACTAGGACCTTCTGTTGTTTTACAACAGCTTACTACTGTTTGATGGATGACCTTAAGGAAAAGACTTAACCACTGTAAGCTATACCTTCCTTGTTTGGGTTGCTGGAGAGCCGGGGCAGGCTCTGAGTCTCTATTTCCCCATCAGTAATTCAGGAACAATACCGCTTACTCTACAGGCCAGTTTAAGTGCTAAGGGGAAAGGTGTAATGTTCTGGTAAATAGTCATAGATGACAGCCTCACTATGATCCCACTCTCTCTGAGCAAACTTGGTGGTCAGAAAGCTAAAAAGAGGCTCCTCCATGGTGCCCTCCACCCCCAAGAGACCCTCAGACATGGACTCAGGGAGCCCTAGATGCAAACTCAGGCCCACCTGCAAACACTGGGCATTCCCTGACCTTCAGAGCCTATATGTGCCGAGTGGAAACCAGGGAAAAAGTGCTTCTGACAGACTATTACAAGGTGACGTGTATGGGAACAGGCATGTAAGGTCAGCCCTGTCCACATGGGCCACTCCCTCCTACCTGCAGGATGTCGTGTATAGGCTCCTGAAGTCCATCTGCAGAGACTTTGGGTGCCATCTTTATAATGTTGCTCAGTTCGACCCCTGCAGAAGTGAGGAAATAAGTGACAGCCATCATCCTGATGGGCCTGCCAGGATCACACCTCATGTCCCTTCTGTTGGTCCCACCCACTCAGGAGGACTTCTGGGAGTTGTTTGGCCCAGCCAGGTGTTGCTCAGTGGTAGAGCATCAACCTATGAACCAGAAGGTTCGATTCCCAGTCAGGGCGCATGCCTGGGCACTCAATTCCCAGTGTGCGAGGCAGCCCATCAATGATTCTTTCTTATCATTGATGTTTCCATCTCTCTCTCCCTCTCCCATCCTCTCTGAAATCAATTTTAAAAAATATTAAACAAAACGAGTTGTTTGTAGTGGTGTGGCCGGGAGATTGGAGAACCTATAAGCCACTGTAGGGAGCTCTCCCACCCCAGGACAGGCCACAGTGGGGGGCGAGGGTCATTTGACAAAGGGTGAGTCAGGGAGCTGGAAAATGAACGCCGGCTCTATCACTTCAGATTAAAAGTTGGACTTCCCATTGGCCAAACCCAGTGAGATGCCAGAGGGCAAGGGAGACCAGGTATTCAGCCTCAGAGGTCAGAGGCTGGTGTCCTGGGCACAGAGTGGGATATAGTCACTGGATAATGGCTGGAGGACTACCCATAAGTATCCTTCCAGTGAGGGCAGGGATATAGCCAGGGTGAGGAATAATAGGAGTCCCAACAGAGAAGGCTGTGGGATCCCCTCCCCTCTTAGCCCACCAGGCAGAATGTGCCTCTCGCTGCAGTGATGGCATGCAGCCTCACTACTGTTCTACTCCCATTGGCTGGACAGGGCTGAGGAGTAAAGACCCACCCCCTTCACCTTGCACCTCCATATGGACATGGCTGCTAAGTCTGGGCCAAACAACTCTTTTTGAAACCACTCCCCTCTGTGGCCTGGTTTGAGCATGACACCTGTTTCTACAGGTAGGTGACTGACACCCACTTATGCCTTCTTGAGCTCAAGCCAGGATGTGGGGAGGCAGGTGGCCGTTTCTTGGGACCTGGTCAGGAAAAGTCTCTTCACTCAAGTGACAATTAAAATGAGACCCACCTTGAAGTATCCAGCCCTGCAGATGTCTGGGAAAGGCCCAGGCAAGTAGAGGGTAGGTGCCAGGGAGGTGAGAGCAGGTAGCCAGCCTGCCCAGGTCAGAAAATGGAGAGGGTACACAGCCCAGGACTGCCATGTCAGGTGAGGTGGGGCCACAGCAGGACAGCACTCTCACACATTAAGAGCAGTGGACCAGAGGGGACTGTCAGGCAAAGAGCTGGATCAGCGTTGTGACCGAGCCATACCACCCTACCTTGTGATTCAAACTGCTCCACAGCCTCTGTCACTGCTTCCTCTGGCCCCATCTCAAACTCCTCGATGTTCTCACGAACAGCTGCATCAAAGGTCTCCTGGGTGATGCGCTTGGTGGCCATCTTCATCCCTTCCTCATGGGCTGTAGGCATCCAACAGATGCTCCTGAGCTGAGAAGTTAAGGTGAGAAGAAAGCTTCTTTGAGGGCAGTTGGGAGCCTGGCCACCATTTAAGGAGTATCTACTGGGGCTGCAGCCATATGAACATCTGGAAAAATTTTTACAACCTGGATCACAGCATAGGGTGATTATCTCAACACTCCAGAACTTCTAAAAGTGCAGAATAGGGGAGGTATTATTATCTATCTATATAATAAAAGCCTAAGTACTGTTACAGCGGAACAACCAGAATGACAGGTCGCTATGATGTGCACCGACCACCAGGGGGCAGACGTTCAATGCAGGAGCTGCCCCTTGGTGGTCAGTGCGCTCCCACAGGGGGAGCACAGGTCAGCCAGAAGCCAGGCTCACGGCTGGCGAATGCAGCAGCAGTGGCAAGAGCCTCTCCTGCATCCACGGCAGCGCTAAGGAGCAGGAGCCAAGCAGTTAGGAGCAAGGGGTCCCAGACTATGAGAGGGATGTCCAACTGCCGACTTAGGCCTGCCCTAAGCCGGCAGGCAGACATCCCCTGAGGGCTGTTGGACTGCAAGAGGGTGCAGGCCAGGCTGAGGGACCCCACTCCAGTGCATGAATTTTGTGGACCGGTCCTCTAGTACTTTATAAGAAAGGGGGAATGTTGCCCTGGCCAGTGTGGCTCAGCTATTTGGAGTGTTGTCCTGAGCACCATAGGGTCACAAGTTTGATTCCATGTCAGGGCATGTACCCAGGTTGCAGGTTCCATCTTGGTCAGCGCCTTCATGCTGGGGAACATACAGGAGGCAACCCATCGATGTCTCTCTCTCTCCTTTTCCCTTCCGCTCTTTCTAAAATCAATACAAACATGTACTTCGGTGGATTAAAAAAATTTTTTTAAGAAAGGGGGAATGTTAATGCATGTCCTTATAATAAAAAATAGTAACAATAAGTGTAAAATAGTAGCTTAATAATACTATATTAAAGGATTATATTATATAAAATAGTAAAATAGTATTGTCATATGTAATTATATATAATAATATAATCGTATATAAGATTATGTTATATATTAGAAAATAATGCTGGTATAACTATATATTACTTTATTATAGTTATGTCTTATATAATCATATAAGGCAATCCTATATAATAAAAGCATAGTATGCAAATTGTCCCCTCGACTGGGAGTTTGACCAGGGGGCAGGGCCAGCCAGGGGAAGGAAGGGAGTACCCAGCTGGCAGCCAGCAGCCGCTAGGGACCCTACCAGTGCACCAATTTCGTGCACTGGGCCTCTAGTATTTTTATACTAATATACTGTTATTATAATAAGATTTTTAAATAAAAATTAATAATGTAAATAAACAAAGAGGAAGACTAAATAAAAAACTAACAGAAATACTTACTTGAAAAGAGGCAGAGAAAAGGGTGCTGAGGACAGGACTAGAAGCTGGATTGTTCTCTCTGAATTTACCTTGTCTTACAGGTTTGAATTTGGAACCCATGTAAATGTTTTATGTGGTTAGAAAAAGAAATAAACCAATAAAAATAAAAATAAAAGCAATCCTAAAAAAGCAAGAATAAAATGAAGCCCACAAATCTAAGAGTGTATGTGTGATCAGACCACTTCATGTGACTTTAAAACAAGTGATATGACCATACATTCTTATTAGTATATATGCTAAGGATAATATAAAATACAAAAGAAAATCTACATTATTAATGTTATTATGAAACTATTGTAGGTGTAGCAAATAAGTAATAAGGGTTATGTCATTAGGTGCCAGCAAAAAAGAAAAAATATTCTAAAATAAGAAAATCAAAGAAGTAAAAACTCAGAATTTTTACATTTGAACTGGAAGTATCAATACAAACTTACGATATATATTCTTTTAAGTAAACAACCCCTCCCCATTTATATAGTTATATCAACAGAAAATGCCTAGAGGAAATGACACCACAGCAGCAATAAGCACTCCAAACACAACTGTGGTCTCAAACTACCATAAGCAAGACTCCTGGAGAAATGGCTGATTCCAGTTCTGGACAGGAAATAAGCCAGGGGAAGCAGGAGCATCTTTTGAGAGCAGAATGTAAGGAAGCTTCTAAAGAAGTCATGTCAGTGCTCACTTCAGCAGCACATACACTAAAATTGGAATGATACAGAGAAGATTAGCATGGCTCCTGCCCAAGGATGACACGCAAATTTGTCAAGCGTTCCATATTTTAAAAAAAATAAAATAAAGAAGTCATGGCAAAGGACATGAGAGCAAACCCTAAGCGGCGCCCACTAGCTAAAGATGAGACAAGTGAGCATTAAAAAAAAAAGTCCTGGCCAGTGTGCTCAATGGTTAGAGTATCAGCCTACTCACCAGAGGGTCTCAGATTCAATTCCCTGTCAAGGGTGAGTACCTCTCTCTCACATAAATGTTTCTCTCTCTCTCTTTCTTTCTCTCTTTCTCTCTCTCCTCACCCCCTCCCTTTCACTCTAAAAAAATCAATGGAAAAAATACCCTCAGTCCTCAGGTGAGGATTAAAAAATAACAATAATAAAATGTTAAAAGCCCAACGGATATCAAAATCAAAATCTGTGCATTCATAATAGTACTAAAACAAACCCAACCCATTCTCCTGTAAACTGGCAAAAATTCAGCATTTATCCTGCTTCCCTCATACAAGTGGGTACCAAGTTATAGAGGATGAAGGAAAGTTCTGCCTTATAACTGAATCTCAGCTAATTGACCAAACAGAACAGATCTAGACAATGATCTCTGAAGGCTGCAAAACTGAGGTGTAGAACTGATAAGGAACCTGACATCAGGTGCACAGTATATGTGTCCACTGTATGATTTCATATCAAAAGAAAAACCTAACACCACCTACCCCCAGACGAAATGCGCCTGTGAAGTCATCCTGCCAAAACCTGACCTGAATCTGACCACGCATCCAGTGGAACTCTGTGCAATGACAGAGTGTTATATATCTGTGCAGTCCACGTGGGATTGAACAGTTGAAATGTAGCTAGTGCAACTGAGAAATTGAACGTGTACCTTTACTTATTTGTAATTCATTTTAATGTAAATAGCCTTAGGTGATGCGGGGCTGCCTTACTAAACAGCACAGCTCTAGATCTAACAGTCCCTGATCAATTGCTCGATTGCCTTAATACGGTCTTTTAAAACAATTTGTTTCTGATCACAGGTCCAATCTAGAATCACACAACGCAGAAAGTGTGTTAGGAGGACAAAGATATAGGGGTAGTAGGACAATGGTACTGAATTGTGGCAAAAATCCAAGGGCAAATTGGGCTCTGTGGAAACAGGCCACCCTAGCCCATGCTCCTTTTTGCGGAGGTGGCACAGGATGTGAATATTCCATCTATGTTTGCACAGACATGCCAGCAGGGAGGAGGACAGGCTCTGGGGCAGCGGGGGGTAGCACTCAAATCCCAAGCCCTCCACTTAACCTAGTTCTTCAATTCCCTCATGGTTGATACAGGGATAAATGCAGAATCTACCTCATAGGGCGATAGTGAAAATTCAATCAGTTCTTGAAAAGCACTTAGAACAGGATCTGGCACAGAGTAAGAGCTTAATAAATGTTACTTATTAGTCCCTTTCCTTTGTTGCTTAAGAGGTAATGTAGCCAATTTATCTGTGGATGTAGGGAGTGGAAGGGCATCAAACAGCCCACCTTGTTTCCCTCCCTTGCAGATAGTCCCACTCCTTCTGCCCCAGAACAAGTAGTCTGTTCAGGGGTTGCTAAAGTCAAAAATGAAGAAAAACAATAAGGATTTTCTGTTTTGAGATAGTTTCTCAATGGGAAGTCCAGGCTGGTGATGGTGGGGTGTTCCATGGCCAGCTCCAAGGAACCAGAAACTTCCACGATGGTGCCTGCCACTCCTGGCTCTGCCATTTGACATTGCTTCCATCACACTGGCCATGCTTCAGACCCTGTGGTGAGTAGCCACCCTGTCACAAAGGCACAGTTGAGAAAGGGAATACACACTGCCCTCGCCGGGTAGGTCAGCTGGTTAAAGCATCATTCCGAGATTAGGGGTTCGATCCCCAGTCAGGGCGCAGACAAGAATCAATCAATTAATGCATAAATAAGTGGGACAACAAATTGATGTTTCTGTCTCTCCTTCCTTTCTCTCTAAAATCAATTTTAAAAGGGGTGGGTGGGTGGAGGGAGGATGCATACTTTACAGACAAGGAATCTGAATCTTAGAGAGGGAAGAACCCACCAGAGGCCATACAGGCAATAAAAGGCCTGGCCATCATGCTCTCTATCCTGCCCCATTAACATCTTTCCTTCACCTGGTCCTCTAGTCTAAGGAACTTCTAATATAGGGGAGGTACATGAGAATTACATAAATGACCGAAAGTCAAAGTTAAGTCAGGGGCCTCCTACATGTTGTTTGACAGAACTCGGCTGACCAGAGGTGCAAGTAGAACACAAGGAACCTCTGGAACAAAAGTATTTCTGCAAAGACTGATTAATATCTACTCACCCATACCTTATCATTTAGCCATACCATAAACGAAAAACAAACCACAGAATATACCTTGTAAAGGTTAAAGTTAATCCCATTTTTCCACTCTTTATTTCCCCATACTAGTAATTTTCCACAGAAACTATAAACATATACTAGTAAGCTCAACCTCTGGAGACAGTTGGGGGTCTCTCTTCCTTCTCTTTTAAGGAGAGTCCACCACCCTGCCTGTGGAGTAGCTCTTCTTGCTTGTCCTCTCTGCTCAATAAAATTGCTTCTACTCTAACCTCTTGTCTGGCTCGTATCCTGAATTGTTTCTTGTGCGAAGCTAAGAACCCTCTTGGCTCGGGTACCCTTCAGGAACTTGCCCCTCCAGCATCTCCACCAGCCCTTCCAGGCCACCTCCCCCTGGGAGCCTTTCCAAGCTACTCAGATAGAGGCTGTGCCCTCTGACCTTGCTCTGCATCCCCCACCCCACCTCACCCCACAAACCTCCCTCTGCCCAGCCCTGAGCTGGGAGATCAGTGTCTGGCTCTGGGACCATCTCTGAGATCCTTCCGGATCTCCTAGGTCCAGCACCAGGCTGGGTGGGGGACAAAAGTCTCAATCTAGAACGAATGAGAAAGATGGTGCCTGAGGATGGTCATCTGAGAGTCACCTGGGGAAAAGCCAGGGCCAAGAGAGGGTCCAAGGTGTTGTGGGGAAAGGGAGAGAAACAGCAAGATCCCATCTGCCAGCCAGAACTCTGCTCAAGAGCACGGTACATGGAAACATCAGAGACTTTGAATGATGCCTCATCTTCCTCCACCCTTTACACCCACCTTTATTCAGGCACTATCCTTCCGAAAGGGTGGCCTGGCCTGCTTCCTCCCAGCCACACCCTGAGCATCTCCACAAAGAGACCACCTTCTTACCTGATCAAAATCCTGCAGTGGTGTCCCAACCCTCTGAAAACAAAACCCAGCGTCTTTACCAGCTCTTTTCCTACCTAGACCTCCTCACCAGGGGTCCTTCGTGCCTCTTTCTCATTCTTCCCAGCTATCCAAGGGACATCCTTCATAATCACTCTGGTTAGCAGCCCCCATCTCCTTTCGCATCTCTCTTATTATTTGAATATTATCTCTATCAAGAGCAACACGGTTCATTTATTTATTTGCTTGTACGGTCTAGCCTCCTCCCCAATGAAACTTAACCTCCATGAAAGCTGGGCCCAATCCGTTTTATTCTTCACCTTTTTCTCACTGTCTAGGACGGAGCCGGGTACGCAGCCGGCACTCCGTACACAGGCCTGAACCCGCGGAGGCCAGGGGAGGGGGCAGTTTTGTCCCTCGGCGGCTTCTGTAAGAGGCATTCCCCAAAACCAAGTCCTCAAGGACTGTCCACCGTCACCAGCCCGACCCTGCGGCGCCCACTCCCCGCCCCGCGCGCGAGGGGTCCCGGCGGCTGCAGTCTCTCACCCTGTCTCCGCGGCCACGTGGGAAAGGTGGGGCTCGCGTCTGTCACCCGCGGCACCGCCTCTGGCCCCTTCTGGCCGCCGTCAGCGCGCAGGCTCACTGGCGCCGCCTCGCCTCGGCCTTCCCAGCTAAGCGACCCGCACCCAGATGGACCCAGGTGACTGCGAGCTCAAGTAAAGCCAAACAGGCAAACAGGTGTGCGGCGGCGGTGCCTCTGCCGCTTTTTCCAGGCCGCTCTCCGTCATCGGCGCCCCAAGTTTTTCGCCTTCGGAGCCTCCGCCCTGAAGAAGCAGGTAGCGCGCCGGGACGGGAGGGCG